AAATACAGGACCATTCTGGAAGTAAACTTGTTGGAGTCTGCAAAAGACCTGAGACTGGGACGGAGATTTATCTTCCAACAGGACAATGATCCAAAACATAAAGCCAAATCTACAATGGAATGGTTCACAAATAGACGTATCCAGGTGTTAGAATGGCCAAGTTAAAGTCCAGACCTGAATCCAATCGAGAATCTGTGGAAAGAGCTGCAGACTGCTGTTCACAAATGCTCTCCATCCAACCTCACTGAGCTCGAGCTGCTTTGCAAGGAAAAATGGGAAAGAATTCCAGTCTCTCGATGTGCAAAACTGATAGAGACATACCCCAAGCGACTTGCAGCTGTAATTGCTGCAAAAGGTGGAGCTACAAAGTATTAGCGCAAGGGGGCCGAATAATATTGCACGCCCCACTTTTCAGTTTTTTATTTGTTAAAAAAGTTAAAATTATCCAATAAATTTAGTTTCACTTCACGATTGTGTCCCACTTGATGTTGATTCTTGACAAAAAATTAAATTTTTATATCTTTATGTTTGAAGCCTGAAATGTGGCGAAATGTTGAAAGGTTCAAGGGGGCCAAATACTTTCGCAAGGCACTGTATATCTCATCTTATCCTAAATGCAATAATGTTTAATTCTCTGATCTGTGTTGGCAAATTCAATGGTTGTGTAAAGCCGCACTCTTAGGTCCACAGGCCACAATTTACTTGTTACTTGCTATAAGACCCGGGGGGACCGGTCCTTCCAGTCCGTGGCCCCCAGACTGTGGAACGCTTTGCCTCTGTCCCTCCGTGTGGTCAACTCTGCCGATGCTTTTAAAAAGGGACTAAAGACACTTCTTTTTAGGGTAGCTTTTAATTTCTTGTTTTTTTGTTGTTATTTTCTATTTTTTCTTATTTCTTTTGTATATACATATCTGCTTTTACCTTGTACAGCACTTTGTGATTTTTTTCTCTGAAAGGTGCTGTAGGGTAACTACTTAATATTGCTGATTATAATTGCTTATTAGTATAAATTTGGTAGTGGGGGTCTGCTTTATATTTATTTTTGGCACCAGCAATGTGTGGGACACACTGCGCAGACCAAACCAAATCTTTGCCTCGATATCAATCTATAATCTAAGGGTGTAGAATACGTTTTATCCGCCAGTGATAGTCCGAGATCTTAACAACACGACTCTGATAGGATTGAGTTAAAGAAAAGGGATTTATTGATTACAAAGTGGGACGAAGCATGACGAAAAGGGATTTCTGGTCACATTTGAGTAGGAACTGTACACATTTCATTCAAATTGAACATTTAACATGGAGCAGTCTTACTTTGGAGGAGCGTAGAGGATGGAGAAGGGCTTTGGGTTGGGAAACAGCCCACGTGGTTTCTTTGTCCGGGCAGGCGGGAGTTATGAAGCCTGCTAGTTTGGTCCAGCTGCTGGTGCACGCGAGCCAGGGAAAGAGGCTGGTGATGAACAGTTCGTAGATTCCAACCAGAAAGGAGGCTTGCGTGGAAGCGGGAGGCCTCGGGGCGGATGGCACAGTCGTTGCTGGAGGCGCGTACTTGCGTGGCCGCAGGGCTGAGAGGGAGGTTGCGAGCGTAGGCCGTGTAGGGGACACGTACCCACGGGGTGGTTGTTATAGTGGATTCGGGAGAAACAAGAGACAGAACAATGGCGTGTGGGTGCTCATATAGGCTTCCCAGGGGGCGTGTCCATGCCGCCCCTGCCCTCTGTGGACAGACCCCTTTTACAACAGACAGTTTGTAAAGGAAACACACAGGATCGATGCTAATAATCATAAGACATGTACAAACACACACCGTATTTCATTACTTTGACACTGATACACACATATGGGGCACAATGCAGATTATTGGAGTACTGGACCCAGGGGTACCGGTTCGCAATTGTCCGTCCCGGGTGTGATAGTGTCCATTGTTCACAAGGGGGCGTCAGAGCGCCGCGGGGGAGTCTTTGATTGTCCGGTGGCAGGAGTCTGTGAGCGAGGGCAGGGTTGTGATCTTTGATCTCTACAGGCAGGCAGAGACAGAGGTGCTTATCCCCGTGGTGACTTTATTGCTCTTTTTGGCATCTGTAATCCTCATGATTGATGGCGGCTTGTGGCTGACCCCATGGCTCCTTTGAAGCTGTATCTCTCCATTTGGTCAATGGTAAACAGAGTGGACAGGCTTGGTCCTGCCCTAAGTTTAACCTTACAGTGCTCTATAAATACAATTTACTTACTTACTACTTAAAGTACTCTAAGATAACTACTGTTGTGATTTAGGGCTATACAATCATATATTTCATTTAATTGAATAATAAACACCCAGAAGCCATTGGTCCATAGGTAGCGGGATTATGACTGTCCATAAACATTTTATGTTGACTTTTCTGTCAGACATTGAAGTAAGGATTACTTGCTATATGGATTAAATAAATAAACCTATATTTTGATGTTGTAAAATGACTTATTATTACATATTAGGTTGATTTAAGAAGATGTGACCAAGAAGTATCTGCAGGAACATGACATAAAAAAAAAGTGTGATAAAAGTGTGATGCCATACTGTTACAGAATTGAGACAGGAGCTTGTAGACAGAAGGGACAGAGTTTAATGTTTGTACCAACTTTTCTTGATATTATTCTTGTGGCAAGGGTTGTGTGCAGGTCCAGGAAATAGTGGTGGAGGGAGGGAGAGGGGATTGGGAGGTATCTGTGCCACCCCTGGGCTTTGAAAGAAAATCACACAAAAAAATCATGTATATCAGATATAAGTCCTCCTTTAAGACCCACTTTACAATGTGCACGAGGACAGACGACACTGCTACATTTCAGCTGGAGAACGCCTTTAGCTCTCCTCGCTCTACAGCCGTATTGTATCCTCTGGTGTGGAGTAAATAAATGATGCTAGAAGCATCTTTAGGCATCATGAAAAACACTTTGCCTTCGCACGCATCCGTGTTTCAATGACAGTCGGCGACAACTATAACATCTATGAAGCATGACAAGGCTACTGCATAATTATTAGGGTTGGGCACCGAGAACCGGTTCCTATTTGGAACCGGTTCCTAAAGTGCGGTTCCGGAACCGTTAAGAAGACGTTTGTATTTTGATTCTTTTTTCGATTCCTAAATGCCGGATGCGGCCCGCACAGCGGCGTCGGAAGCGTTTGGAAGGTGGGGGGGGACACGTTTCAAAAATGCTTAGCAGCTGTCCACCCAGCTTTGTGAAAAACTCGGTGAATTAAGCTCTTATGAGACGGCGCGCTCGTGTTTGCTCAGTATTTGCCACATTTAGCTTCAGCCACACACTCCTGCCATCGCAAAGAAACCTCTCAACGCTTGTATCTTCACATTTTCCACAAACGCAGATAAAACTGAGTCAAGGGGTAAAGGAAGCAAACATTTATCCGTCAAATGACTAATTCAGATATTATTTGGTTAAGTTAGAGTCCAGACAGCGAGGTTTAACGGGCGTATTGACCGGTTGAACACTCGTGCTAGCCCGGTGCAGTTTCCCCAAACTCACGCTACATCAGTTTCATCACTCGCTTTACAAACACATCCAAAACTGATGTTCCTTACCTGAAAGTTACTGGTCAGGCCCTTTGTAATTATGAAGAAGGGAAACAGGCTGTCCACCTGCCGAGGACCGCAAAAAGTCCTGCTCCTCCTCCATGTAATAATCCGTAAAAAACTCCGAAAACACGATGCACGAGCACGAGTCCTTGTGCTTTGGTCAAATCTGTCAGTCCGTCCAACGATAATCCTCCAGTATTCTCACTTTAGCCGTTTTTCAGCGGTTTACAGAGACGTGTTTACTTCTTCTTCTTCTGTCGATTATTGGCGGGTGGCAACCAGCAGCTTAGCTGCATACCGCCACCTACTGTACCGTGTGTGTCTCGGGAAGCTAGTTACTTCAGGTTACATTCTGATTGTGCATAGCTTTCCACCCCGGAGGGGGGCAAACCGAGACGTGTTTACATTTCAGCCGCTCTGAGATGATGGTGGGCGGTGCCACATAAACACCGCTTGTGTGTGTGTGTGTGTGTGTGTGTGTGTTCGTGTTCCTTGTTTTTTAATTTAATTTATTTTTATGTAAAGCACTTTCTGTTGCCTTATGGCAGGAAAAGTACTTATGAAATAAAATTTGATAAAAAAAAAAAAAATATCTTTTTTTTTTTCTCTCCTGCACCTCAAAGAATCGGAATCGAGAATCGTTTAGAACAGGAATCGATAGTGAGAATCGGAACCGGAATCGGAAAATTGCAAACGATGCCCAACCCTAATAATTATGATACTGTAAATCCACTGGAAAGGTCAGTCTTGAGTATAGAGACCTCTTTCGTATATCATGAGAATGATTTTGCCACAATAGGAAACAAAACCCTCTGCCAACTGCTATCAGTGGACTTTACATCTGCATCTCTTTGTTCCATTACTGCTCTGTTGTCTGCAGCGATTAGTCTGCTGGACGTGTAAACAATGACTTCTGCAAATAGTCTTATCAGTAGCAGCCACGAACACGTACGGCCTTTACACCGGACACCAATCAGAAAAGCAGGGGACACTCAATGTTATGGTGCATTCAGAACGCAAACGCTCAAACACTGAAGCCCCGCTCACCAGACGCGCATTCTCTATGTAACCCGGGTCATTTTTATCATTCTCTGCACCTCTCCATTTGTCATTTTTTTGCCGTCTCTTTTAAATAATCTCGCGGTAGTTGGTTGTTCCGACGAGAGTTCGAGCGAGAGTTCCCACGGTCCCCATGGCAACAGTTCCTCAAATAAGCGCGCTCTGTCCATGTCAGGATGTGAGTGCAGGGTAGATGCAGTCACATCGTCAGATCATTACATGTTTTGTTTACATTTTCTTTTGCATGTTGCATGTGTTTAGTGCATGTTGTGTTTTTATGAACATTTGAGTGCACCCCTGCACAAATGGACTGCTCCGCATTTTTAACCAATCAGAAACTTTCCCCAGTGGTGTGGTGCGACGTAATGATTGTTAAGAGGCAGGGCCAGGAAGCAGAGACAGGGTCACCGGTGCCTGTGTGGACCGCGGACGCTGGAGTAGACTGACACCAGACCCCCAAGCACCAGTGGGGATCAAAAGGTTGACAGAGCGCTGTGCAGAGGAGCCTTGCAGTGGGGCCGTGCAGTGGAGCCTTGCAGTGGGGCCGTGCAGTGGAGCCTTGCAGTGGAGCCGTGCAGTGGAGCCGTGCAGTGGAGCCGTGCAGTGCAGCCGTGCAGTGGAGCCGTGCAGTGGAGCCGTGCAGTGGGGCCGTGCAGTGGGGCCGTGCAGAGGGGCCGTGCAGTGGAGCCGTGCAGAGGGGCCGTGCGGAGGGGCCGTGCAGTGGAGCCGGCTGATACGCCTGAAAAACAGCTAAGTGAAGGGACGTCTGCACGCGGGCCTCTGCATCGCAGAGCTTGCTGATTTTAACTTATTTGTGCATACACCAATTTTAGCCCTCTCCCCGCAGCTCCCTGGACTGGCGGAGGTGACGGGACTTTTAGCATGGCTATCGGCATCGGACCTTTCCTTTTTTTTAGATACATTTTATAACTGACTTTTACCTTTTTCTTTCTTTCAACTTGTACAAAATAAAACTGTTCATTTTTTCCTATTTTGTGAGTTGTGTTGTATGGCCCGGGCTTGATTTTATACAGTTGCTATTAAACTGTGACATCCACAGTCGGGTGTGTTGCTGTGGGGAAAGTTCGGATCCGAGCAGGCTGCAGGTAATTGTCCGCGATCTAACTTCGTTTCATAATCTACGGGTTGTAACTGATATGCTTTCACTATAGGCGCCTCCTACACTATCTTTGACGCTGTTGTCACACTGTTTGCACTGTTCTACAGAGGAACTGGTGAGTCAGATTGTTTGATTCTGCACGGAGCTAGTAGCTAGCGCTAGTCTCTGCTGCATTACTGACTTTTATCTTTGATGTATGTTTTTCTGTGTCGGTGCCTAGGCCTAGTAGTATGATTGTGATAATGTGTATTGATGTATTTTAATGTGCACCTCAGCAAAATGTTAAATGCATTGATATATTTGATTGTGTGCACAAGATAAGCTAATGTGACCTGTGCATTATTGTTTATGGTGCATTGTGATGAGTATAATATACATGTATATGAGACTTTGTTTTTGTAATGACCTATTGCTTATTTGAATTATGAGATGTGACTAATGCTGGTCCTGTTCGTAACAGGCCAGGTTCTATCCATCCATCCATTCCTTCCATTGGTCCCTCCAGTCCAGTGGTCCCCTTGTCGATGGCGAGCTGCCCCAGGCCCAAAGCCTAGACCCAGACTGTCCCACAGTGCGGTAGGAGGCGAGCAGCCTTTTGCTCACCCACACAACACCTCCACCCCTCACAAAGTGGACACTTAATAGACATTTGATTACAGCAACACGCTGGTTATATGGACTCAACTTTACACTCTACATTCATTGTACATATTGTGTATATTGTATATATGTTTGTATATATCCCCAGTCTTTTGTATATATATCTTTCCGCAATATAATTCACATTTTTGCACTGTACCACTGTCTCTGTCTTTTTAAACACCTCTCTCTCTTGTGAGACGCATCTAGCTTCTGGTACTAGCCTAAGATCAGTATTGTGCCTGTGGGTAAAATAAAGCATACAACCCATATATGCTACATTTCAGACGCAGAGGACTTCACACCAGAACGTCCTGACGCAGGAACGTCCCAAGGAAAGGATGAGCAGAATCCATCTCCTGTGGTCGTAAATTTTTCGCTCCTGCTCATCCCCTTTGACTTTCCCGCCAAGTCCGTGCATGTCTACTGAACAGTCCGTCCGTGCGTGCCGAGAGGTCCGTGCGTTGTGATGCTGCAACGCGCGTCACCATTGACTTTGCATTGAAACCCGACGCAAGCATTAGGCTACCTGCTGCAGCCCATCCAAGCAGGCCCCTTTCACCCTCTGCCAATCACACAGCGCTGCCAAACTACGCCAATTAGTAATACGTGACTTCTGCCATCACTTTCGTCTATGCACGCCTTGCAACCACCACCTCCTCAATCTTCGTGCGCACGCTCTCAACTTCACCCTTATGCCACCACCACTACCCAGACCATTTGCCACCACCAGTACCTAGGTCTCCGAGGATTATAAGCGGCACTCAAGGAATGATCTTCAGACCAGTGCCACAACCAGGGCCTAGGGTGCAAAACAAATGAATAAATCATTGATTTGTGTGTGTGTCTGTGTAGTCTCTCCAGATTGAAATGCATCGTGCTAATCAGACCTGGTCAAAAACTGTGGCAAGATAGTCAATGCAACTTCAATTATTTGTCAAGTTCAAAGTCTTTGAACTTGAGCGATTTTGAGAGTCTGGTTTATTGTAAAAAAGTAAATGAAAGGAAGATAGGACTTATAATTAAAAAAAATTGCCATTGGAAGTACTGTTTCTGATACTTTGTAAACTTAAGTAGGTGTAGTGGGAACAACTATCCTTCGAGGTGAATAAAAAAATGATTGAAACATTTTTTGACCCTGTGTAATGACAATGTAATAATTTCACTAAATTACAGTACTTATTATTTATCGTTTAAATGATTTGTGATTATAGAATCAGAATCATTTTTATTGCCATGCAAGTAACAGGAAGTCACAGACTTGGAAATTGCTTTGGCTCAATGCAACAGTCAGACAGAGAGGTAAGGGTAGAGAAGGCATAATAAGAAAATAAAAAATTAAAACTTCTAAGGAATAAATTTTAAATAGAGTTACAATTACTATATACAATATACAGTGCACATGGTGCGACAATGTAAGGTGACGTATGATGGGCAGTAAAGTGACTTTATAAAGGGCGGGGGGACAGGTAATGAAGTGTTCAAGAGTCCAACAGCAGAGGGGAAGAAACTGTTCTTGTGGCGGGAGGTTCAAGTCCTGATGGACCGCAGCCTCCTGCCTGAGGGGAGTGTTTGGAATAGTCCATGTGCAGGGTGAGAGGGGTCGGCTGTGATACGACCAGCCCGGCCTCGAGCTCGGGCAACGTACAGGTCCTGCAGCGATGGAAGGCTGCGGCCGATCACTTCCTCTGCAGAGCGCACGATGCGCTGTAGTCTCTGCTTGTCCCTGACTGTGGCTCCAGTGAACCACACAAAGATTAGGTAACTCAACCAAAAATGTAAAATAAGAAATAAACATTCTGTGGGGATCTGAGCCCAACTTTAAGCTCTTGAGTGATTATTATTTGATGATCTGCAGAGCTGGCTATGGGAGGACATGAAAACCCAAGTGAATTCATGAACCTCGCTCACTATTGCACAATATTGTATTTTTAAAAGCTTATTATTTTCCCATGGTGATTTCCAGCCACTGCTCCATATGGAGGGAGCGACTTTAAAAACAACAACCTCCTCGCTCTAGATTTTCTGTCACTGAATTGACAACAATAGTCTCAGGACAAAGGAAAATGTTATTTACTTACGTAAACTTTTAAAATCATGTTTGTGAGACGACAAGCACCATTACAAGAAATTCAGGATGGCATAATTGCACCAGAAGGTTATTCATATACATACTTAAGTATAACATGTATATTAAAGTGAAGGTCAGTAACTTTTCATAATGTGAAGATTGAAATAAGTTTTTCGAATGCGAGCGCCAGTGAGATCCGCCCCTAAAGGCTCCTGATCGGGCGCAATGAAATCAAATCCTTGAGCTGAGGCCCCTCACCATTGGTCTATCTATTCTCCACCAGCAAATATTACCGGTGATGATTATTCCAAGAAGAGGGACTGTTTTAAATATATGTCTCATATAAAATTGTTTTTGTTTTGTTATTTTCTTAATCAGCGGTGAACCTGATTAAGAAAGGGATGGAGAGATTCTTTATTTGTCCCCCAGCCGAGACATTTCATTGTTGCATCAGGGGTTAGAACAGTAGCAATGAGGAGCACAAAACACAAGATAAATACAAAATAACTCTGTATTAAAATACAATTCAACAAAATCTCTAAACTCAGCATACAAAGCAAATATAAAATCTCTTTAGTTAACAAGAGATTTTATTTATCTTCCGACAACCCAGATTCTTCAACTGGATCTGCCCTGCTTTGAGCTTTAGAAATAGTTACAGAGCTGAAGTTGGCTGAATGACACTGTGAACTTATAATCTCAACAACTACTTTGCAGAGGGCAGAATGAAAAACACATAGACGGCCACAATTTGCAGCGGGCCTGAGTTTGGACATGCCTGTTCCAAATCATTTGAGGAGCTGCCTGAGAGAGCTACAGGTTAGAGTGCACTGATTTTAGATTATACAATAGAAGTTGCAAACCTCACCTTTCATTTGTTGTGATTGGTATTGTCATGAAAAAATAAAAAGAACCCTGAAAACTGGACAACAACTAAAAGCCAGGAAGTACAGGTGAGTGTTGCGACAAGGTATTTTATTTTCTCTCTTTTTTTAGTGCATTTCACGCCACTTTGATCAACACTCTCTTTTTGCACAGGTTCAATTCAATTCAATGTATTTTTGTATAGCCCTAAATTACAGCAGTAGTTATCTCGGAGGACTTTAGAAAAACCCTCGACTGGCCAACACAGATCAGAAAATCAAACACACAAGAAATGCAGTGAAAAAAAATACACATAGAGCCTTTGATCCAAAAGGGGTGGATTACCAATGTCCACAAACGTTGATAAAGTCCATAAATGCAAAGATGACACTGCTCCTCAGACACATCCACAACACGATTCGCTGATATTGCATGAAAGGGTATACATTCTCCCGATGGTAGAGATTAAAAATATGAGGAAAAGAATTTATATGATCGGCTTGACGGGCAAAGATGCATCACTTGACTTTGAATGACAGACAGAAAGTTATAGAGCGTAAATGTGCGTGTCAGCTTAAGTCACATAAATCAAGCCCGTCAGCAAAAACTAAGAAAACTTAATGAAAAAAAATACACTTCCCCTTTCTGTTCCTATGCAAATGATGTGTTTGTGGGGATAGCGTACGGCCGTGAGCTTACGCAACCTCTGTATAATCCCGTTGATGGATGGGCTCGTATTGGAGATTTTTTAACAAGCCTGCCCGGACCGGCTGCATTAGGCCGCCGCAATATTGAAACAGGAGATGTATGTTACCGAAGCTCATAACAGTGCGGCTTTACTGTGACCATCGGATCGATCCATCAAGTTTCACCCCTGCCGCCCTCAGCCTCCGACCCTAGTAAATTGAACAGTCTTGCGTTAATCGATTGGACTTTGAAACACGCATTTAATCATTCAGTTTTGATAAAGGCAAAACAAATATGATTCTATTGTAATGTATGGATTTACTTTACTGGCGAATCAGATAAAAAGACAAAATAGAGAGGTTTGTTGCATGAAATTCCCTGAAATGTCCCCACTGTGGACAGAAAAGGATTTCCTAATCTTCTAAATCTAGAATTACAACTGAAGAGTCATCGCAAAATCTGGTTCTGACGACAGGTTTGCAAAGTCTGGTCTTGACAGAGCAGGATGAGGTCTT